AAATTAAAATTTATTTATTTTTTACTACATTTTTTTATTAAAAATTATTTTTTATCAACTTAACAGTTATTTCCTTCACAATAAGTCTATCCGTACCCGAACCAAACAATGAATACAAGTGGTGTTTTGTGCAGGACAGTTCAGAGTGCACGTGGGCTTTACTGCTTTATTTCCAGATTCACAATTTTCTTGATATCATTCCTCTGCCAACCGTCTGATATGTCAAACAAGGTCTTCAACTTTCTTGGAAATTGCAACCTTTGCTTACATCCATCAACACAAGAAAGTTCCAACCCCACTGTACATGTCTGGCTTAATCTACAGTAACTTTAAAAATTTTAAAACAGTACGAATTTATATAAAATAATTATAAAAACTAAAATTAGTTTATATTAATTTTAATTATTAAATAAAATTAAAATTTTAATTTAAAATTTGAAAATTATTTATATTACATATATAATTAATTTTTAAATTTTAAATTAAATTTTAATAAAATAAAATAATTTAATATTAAAATTTTAATTTATTTTAAGAATTAAACTTTGATATGTATTTTTTTATAATAATTTAAAAATTAATAAAAATTATTAAACTTGAAATCTTAATAATAATACAATATCAATATGAGTGTAGATAATTAAGAATTTGAAATTATATACTATATGTTTTTTAGAATTTAATTTGCATTTTTATATTAGAAGTATTAAATTCAAATTTTCAAATAATAAAGATTTGAAAAGCCTCAATTTATAAAGAGGAACAAAAAAAAAAAAAAAAATCTGAATATTAAGCTTAAAATCTTCAAGTTCACGCATATCATAAATTGAAAACTGCAGTAGGTGCACATTTCACTGCATAAACTTAGGGCTGGGTGTATTTTGGTTTAAAACCAAAAAATCGAATAATTGAATCGAACATAATCTTTCTGGTCTAAATAAATGGTTAAATGATTAATTTGGTTTTACATCAAAATTAACCAAATAAAAATTTCAGATTAGTTATGGTTATTAGTGCTAAAACTGTAAAATTGTAAAGAACTTTTAATTTAATTGAATTAGTAAAATAATTTAGTTTAACCAAAGTAGAACCAAATTTTTAAATAAAAAAAATCAAACTTTTAGTTTGAAATTTTATTAGAATTTGAAAATTTCGGTAAAATCCAGATCAAACCAAAAAAATATATATATATATTTAACTGAACGAAATTTCTAAATTATAAGTTAGTTTGGATTCAGTTTTCAAGATCATAATGAAAAAATTATGGTTAATCAAAATTTTTCTTATTTGGTTTGATGATTGATGGGATACATTTTGTATGTTTTACTTTATTTTATTTTATTTTAACTTTGATTTTATTCATATTTAGATGGGTAGAGTGTGATTTTTTATGGATTTTACATAATTTTCAATGCTTGTTGAAAAAAAGACTAAAATGCATAGGAATAGAAATTGAGGACTATAATGCAAGAAGAAAAAGTCACAATCAGGGACCTAAATTAATAAATTTGAATTTATAGGATCAAAGTACTTATCAAACAGAAGATGAAGGACCAAATGTGCAATTTTACTATTGAAGAAATTGCAAAAAGATCCAAAAAGATCCAAAAAAATAGAAAAACCCTAACACGGCCTGGGTGTCAACACCATGTGTTAAGAATTCCTCAAGTCTGTACCAGGGGAAATTTTGCAGGAGAAATGTCGACACCCTAAGCAACATTCAACCTTTTTTTTTTTTTTTTTTGGGGTAAAAGCTTTTAGCTATTTTATTTGGAAATTTCTGTTTTTGACACGGTTCTCACTTGTTTTCTAGTACGGAGGCTTTTTTTTAATCTTCATAAATACTCCTTCAAGAACATATCTTGGAAGTCTTTGGACAAAAGAGAGAGGTGACAACAAAGAAATCAAAATATCAATAACTTGTTAACTAAATAGAAGAAACCCAATTATTTTAAATTAAATTTTGAATTTGAGTTTTATAAATAAAAAGTTAGACATCAAGAAAACTTTTCTTATGAGGTCTGATATAACTAGATTTTAAATTAGTCGTGCTTAATGTAACTTTTAAATATTAAGAGATTTAATAAAAAAATATAAATCAAAATAAAAAAAGAATCAAATTTTGAAATACTATATTATCAAATTAGTTTCACTTGTTTTTAAGTTTTTCTTTATTGTATAAAATACTTTTATGTTCATCAAGAAATATTTAATTTCCTTTTCTTTAATTATGAAATAATTTAGATATTTAAGGATATTATATAATCTAGTCAATTCAATATAAAATTTTATAAATTTTATGTTTTCAAGGTTTACTATTTCATGTAAAATATAAATCATAGTTATTAATTTTTTTTATTGATTGGTCACAATTAAAATTTGATATGGAGAGTACAATTGAGACTATTAGGAGATTTTATACAATAACTTCAAGTAATACATACCATGAATTGAACAAAAACTAGTGAACTTGAAAGTTTCTACAAGTTAGGAAGTTTCACAAAGTATAATACATTTTTATTTATTTAAATTCACATAAAATATAATGGGTTAATAAGTGAGAATATGTTTAATAGAACTTGAAAAAGAATATTGAAATGATCAAGAACTCCCACTATCACATAAATAGTAAATACTTTAGAAGTATATTAATCCAAGTCTTATATTAGTTAACTATAGTAGAATCAAATGCTTTTAATGTAAATCTTTTAATTTTAATTGTTCAAATAAAATTAAAATTACTTAATATTAGTACTTAATTGATATATAGTCTCAATAGCACAATACTTAAATCTCATTATTATAGAAATCATATTTAGTCTCCCTTTGATTTTTATGAAAGAAGATTTTTTTTTAAAAAATAATAAATAAATTGAACCAAACAATCCATGTGTGCAAGTCTTTCTTTTTTCCGCTGCGAATTTGGTTGCAAAATGTCAAGGGAGCAAAAGCGTAGGTGTTTGCCTCTTTTAGGCCCATAGCCATCTGAAAGCTTCTTTCTTTCCACCTATGTCCCATGTTCATCTTATCCAGTATTCCTTCCTAAATAAAATCTTTATCTTCTATTTTCCTTTTAGTTTGAAGCTTTGTTCTTCCCTTCTATTTTTCACTTTTAAAAAAATTACTTCTCACTCACCTTCATCAAAGACTATTAAACCATTGGCACTTGCAATTTGACTCCCAAACTCAGACCTCATTTTTTTTCTTTTCGTTGCCATGAAGAGGTTTCATGTTTAAACTCTTAAGATAAACTAAAAGGAAATTGGGAAGCGAGGGGGGGAGGGGGGGAATAACATTTTAGAAAAGAAAAACCTTAGATAATAAGAAAGAGATATTCTAGCTACAGCAGGTGAAAAACACTCGGTTAAGGAACATGCCAACCTATTTTTTTTAGAAAAATAAAGATAAAATAAAATAATCAACACTCGGCCAATAAATTGCACTTCTCTCACTTATTTTTTCTTCTCTTCTTTTCAAAGCAAACATTAAATCAACATAACAACCTTGTATACCTCTTTAATGAACACATACCAAACTCATACTTCCACTTGGGATGTTCCATTCCATATGAGTGGATTTATTGGGCCCTAAAATTATTTGCAATAGAAGAATAGCGTTCAATGCATGAATTAGACAGCTGGCAGGACAGCCAGCCATACATCTTTACCTATTTTATAACCTTTGCGTGTTTGGTTATGTCCCTATAAACTCACCTTTCTTCCCTCTCAATTATGGGGGGCTAACCACTAGCCATGTGAAAAAAGCAGTATAATCTACAAAGTTGTGGGGGATAACAAGTCTTTCAACTTAGAAAATTTTTTCTTCCATGGGTATTTCATGTTTTGTTGTGTTTGTTCATAGGGGAAAGAAAGTTGTTCAGTGTTTTTAGTCATCCTTGTGAAATCTCGTAATTTGGCAATTGCTAGAGATGGAAAAGGTTCAAAGACTCTTTTAACTTACGAAAATATTTACTTCATGTTTAGTTGCTTAAGTTGCTTTTTGTGGGAATTTGTAAGTAGACATAGTTTGGGTGTAAATATGATATACATACTAGAAAAATTTTAATCTGAAAAGAAAAATACATAACTTCATCTATAGAATTTTTGATAGGAGTTGTATTGAGTATTGACTTGAAATAATTGGATTCCAAAATATACGAATCCGACCCATTTAAAAGCTAAAATGGCCGTATCTGGGGTTGGTTGCTGGGTCAGCCTCAGTCGATTCTAAGTCCATCATTTAAACCTGTAAAGGACCCACCCACCATAATACCATAGTTGGGCTTTGAACTTTATTTTGTTTCTTAAAATATATGATGTCTCCGTTTCAGATACTGTGCTAATTGACATAATATCAAGCTTGGGGTCCCTCGCGAGGGGAAAGTTTCAAAAATTTAAGTCTCTGTATTAAAGATTGACAGGTAAGGAGCAGTTTTGGAAGTGTAAGGTTATTCATTGTTTTGTTTTATAACTAATCACATATAATACTTGTGGATCAAGATGTTATTTATTATTATTTTTTTATAAGTCAGGGTAACTAGTTGAAACTCTCGTAAGGGCAAAATGGGTGAAAAATAAAAGTGAGGGTGAAAAACTTTGGTCATACTAGCAAGGAAGCGACTTTTTTGCAAATAATTTGACTAGGTACTCTACAAGTCTTCCTTGGGATCAAAATGTTATTGAGTGCATTATTTAGGGAACATTAAGACAATCTAACCTTGAAAAGGATTGATAACAAACATGATAGACTACAAAGTCTTGAGCTTATTATATTTAGATAACACATCATTTTCAAGGAAGAAACAAGTACCTTTAATCATTGTGTGGATTCAAACAGACCATTATGGAGTACAAGCACTGCAAGGTGGGAGTGACCTGGTTTCAGAATTTGATAAGCTGCCTTGTAAGTGCAACCAGATTCAGTCAATAGCTCAAGTATTAGCCTCGGACCATTCCTGTAATGTTGGTGTTTCAACTCCAATATTTTTCATGTCTGAGATATTGGCTGCATAAAATTAGAGATCAATATCAGTATAATATGCAATTTTGACAGAAGAAACCTGTTAAAATGGAATGCAGTGAGGATGGTTATTCCTTTGAGAAATGAGAAATGGAAATAAAGAAGAAAGGTATTTCCATTTAGATATAGTAAAAGCAAAGCAAACACCAAGATCACTGAACAAATGAACGGTTTTTGTTTAGATCATCTGAACAAAGGCACTCTGATTACAATGAAAATTAAAAAATTGAAATGCTGTACATAATCTGTAATCGGATAGAAAAATTGTAACAGGACTTATGTTCCCTGCACAAGCAAATTGGAGGACAAGGAGGAGTCAATCTTATCTAATATGTTTGGAATAACGATGCATGTTCTGTAAAAAACATCATCAGTCATCAGAGCAAGATAAGCAAAAATGCTATGCAATATGACATCTCAACCTTTTAACTATCTATGGGATGATGGAACATGAACATGCCACAAAGAATCTAATCATAGATAGTTGTACAGTATACTGGAAAATGAACATGCCACAAAAGTATCCAATCACTGATGGTCTATCAAGTTAATAATCATCAAATCCAGAAGCCCTACCACATAATTGAAGCCAGTTCTAAAATTTTTCCTATGCATAGGATATGGTCATAAGCTGGTTCAAAATCCTGATTGTTCTAAACTGAAAGAGATATGTTACTCTTGCTACAATTAACCACCACGCTGCTCTTCTCACCCAAACCCAAAAAGAGAAAAATGAACACCCCCCTTCCTCATCTATTCTCCTTTTCACCCTTAATCTAATTTAGGACACCTATGGTACTACACCATTTATGTCAGCAGTTGAAATAGTAAAATGATGACGAAGCAATGATGCAATCACTCTACTATTCCTGAGTCCTAAAAACATAGGTGCTTTCCAGATAAACAACTTTCAATAGAAACTAAGTTACATGCTGCATTATCAAGAGTCCAAACTCAAGAGAATGAAAACTCATAAGTCACTAAATCAAAGAATGGCATTCAGCTACCTTCAATTGATGGTAGCAAAAGTTAATGGATTGGGCTACATACATGAGATATTATGAGATATTAAAAGTCAAAGTGCTCTCAAACCTTTACTCAAGAGGGAATGAATCTCACAAATATATGTATCAAAGGTATTCACAAAGCATGACATCAGTATGATTTATCCACATTGATATGATTTATCCTCCTGTTGGATACAAGTGGTTGAGAAATAAATACCAGCATGTATGTCAGGTGTAGCCGCGGCAGTGGCATTGACAATAAGAGTAACAGGTTTATAGTCATGTGCTACAGCATCAAAGGTGGTTTGCCTGATGCAATTTGGAGTTTGAACGCCTAGACAGACAGATTTGTAAAATTGCTGAGCTGAAAATTCAAAATAATTGAGTAATGGACATACCATGATCCTAACACCCTTTTTTTTTTGGGGGGTACATAACACCTTTTTTACCTGTTACATCAACCTTCCTTTTTCTGTCTTTTAAAAGGCCAAAAGCCAAAAGGTGACCTCAGTGGTGGATTTATGAGTGTCGTTTTATATAGTTTAAATTTAGGTAGAATAATTTTCTCCTAATTCTTACCTTTAGAATTTTAAGTTTATTTTTGTATTTTTTTCCTTTATTTTTTTAACCAATTTTCAACATACAATTTTTCCTTCCAACATTTTTGGAAGTAAAAACCTTTTTCTTAGCTTTTCAAACCTCATATTCACTTAACAAAATTTAATCAAATAATTTTATATAATAAATAAATAATAATTAAAAATTCTTTGCTTTCTATACATAGTTCTTATTAAATATTTTATTTAATTAAAAATATTTTTAATTATTATTAATTTATTATATAAAATCA